CTACACACAACACATTTAAGCAATAAATATATCCTCCAAATTCGATAATTTACAAATGCGACGCAAAATTAAAATATAATACCAGATAATTTCAGCTTCAAAAACATCCAAGAAGTTTCTTCGGAGCAGTTCCAGTGGCACGATATTTTGCTGCCATTTCTTCTGCCTTGAGAAGATCTTCCCCGCGTTTGGCTTCAATAATCGCTCTTTTTTCTTCGGCTGCTTTGTGAACCAGAGCAACCTTGTTTTTCATTTTCTCCACGTATTCTGCTTTCTTTTTCTCAAGTTCCTCCTAAAACGCCATTGCACATTACAAGTTATTATAATTTATAGGTGTCACAAACTAGAATAAAACCAACTACGAAGGGAGTTCCTACGTATAGGACCAAATAAGGCTCGACTAAACAATACTGAACCGATTAGGGACAATACAAAACTTCCAATATACACGAGAACAAAGTAATGTGTGACTAACCAATCATCTTTCAATGTGGGACAACACAAAGCCATCAAAACAACAATTTACTATTCGGAGCAGTCAATTTCTAACAATTCCAAAATAATATCCATCATTCACTTTAAAAGGAATAAAATAAGGAAGAAGATTAGATTAAGAAAATCCTAAGGGGGATGACTTGTTACCTCAATCTTTTTAAGCTCGGCCTCTAGACTTGCTTTTTTGCTATTCTCCCAAGCCCCAATGGAAGATATCTTTTTCTGAGCTCTGGAAATAAGTTCAGCGTACATTTAATAAACTGCAAATGAACTTACTCGTGTGGCATGCATACGTGAATTTTGTAGCCATTGTATGCTCATCTAGCAAGAAGCAAAGATACAAAACAGATTGCAATCTTGACGTTATTCAACAACAATGAATAAACTAAGCCTTAAGTTCTCGGTAAATTTGGGGTTGGCTAACAAATTCGGGCATTGTGGTATAGTCGGCACCGAGTCTAAGGAATAAAATTGAAATGTTAGTCATTTTCAAGTCTTGGCAGGAGACATTTGGGTTCTTTTAGCCTGAAGTGAGTTTTTAGCTCATTTACCAATATATTTCTTAGTCTTCATTCCTTCGCTGCATCACATAATCATACATCAATGGTTCACAGGTCACACAACATTTGGTGCAAAAATTTGGAAAACTACTAGCAAATTTCATGGATAAAAGAAAGAACAGAGCACACTTGAGAATTGAAGGGCATACTTGTTTTCAGCTTTTGATTTCTCACTTTCTTCCCATGCTTTGATTAACGACAACCTTTTCTCAGTCGATAAACGTGCAAGCACTGCATCTGAAGATAATATATGTATATATGGATAAAGTTAAGTATTTTCCTAATCATTTACGTGTGAAATTTCTCGAAAATGGAACAATAATTTGCAATGTTGGTTACCTCTATTGATAGAGCCCTCGGATTTTTTCTCCACAGCTGGTTCTGGTTCTGGTTCTTATATATCACATAACAATAGATTTGAATGAGGCGAATCAATATTATGCCACAACAATAACGTATTAAAGTTTCATTGAGATCCATCTATGAAAATTGTGTACGTGTTAGGCCTTTCATAGAATATGATTTGGGATGTGTCAAAAATTAAGTAGATAAACAAAAATGCGTGTTTAGCTAGATTAAAAAAATAACAATATAGTTACCTTTCGTATCTCCTAATATGTTAAAAAAAACTTACCCTTTTTCATACTTTCAAGTAAAGCTACTTTTCTTGTAAGGTAATTCTTGCTTTGCTATTTCCATGAATAAAAACATACTTTAATTGCAAATAAGTATATTTACTTATAAATAAACTCACTAAGCTTAGCCAAACATATTCTTTTTCTCTCTTTTAATGGAAAATCAATTAGGAACTTTATTTATAAGCTCAGATACCAAAAGTTGCATAAAAAGAGAGCGAGATAATTTGGCTTCCTTTTCTTTATTATGTGTACCCCTTTTAGGGGGACAAACAAATAATAAAATTGGATTTCCTTTAGAAAATTTGATTAGCACAAAGCCAAAGCCATGTTAAAATAAAAAATTCTAGTGAAAAAAACAGATGAATGAGAAGGGTGAATTTGCCTAGAAAAATTCTAGACTTCAAAACCAAGATCAGCAACTCAAAGCACCAAAAAGTATGAACTCAAACAACTATCTGATCCAATTAAAATCCAAAAGAAAAGTCCAATTCAATAGTTTTCAAACGAATCAACATCTTATGATGGAAGACAACGTGTTAATACTAAAATTCTGACCGAAACAATATCGAACTAACCACTCTTCTTAATCAATTTAACCTTTTAAAATTGTATCCAGAGCTCAATTACTAATGTATAGATCCTTAAAACAACGACATACACACAAATTATATATACATATACACACGCACAGAGGGGGAGAAGGTTTAGTATGTTACTTTCAACTATGGCAAGTGCTTTGGAATCATCTGGTTTCTCTTCACATGGAGGAAGGGGTGGCGGGGTTACGGATTTCGCCTCGGCCACATCCTTAGGAGGTTCCGCCGCCGGAGCTGGTGGAGGCTCTGAACACGCCTCAGGCTCCACTTTCTTGGCTTCCACCTCCGCCATCACTTCAGAAAACTCAGCTATATCTTTTCTTAATTAAATTAGCAGATATAAATATTAAGCTGATGCAAAAGATATGAAGAAATTTTTCGATGGGTATGAAATGTTGCAGATTATATAGCAAAAACTGCGTGTTTTGTGCGTGTGAAGAATGGTGGGGTGGGGTGAGGTAGAAGATTTTAGTAGTTGAAGGAAGGTAACTGTCACCGTAAAATTGAACAGTACTTAGCTGGATGATTTGTACAAGATAATATGCTGGCCCCTTGTGAGTTGGTGTATACGCCCACACTTTTATAATAAAAAAAAATAAAAAATAATTGAACAATAACTTTGGGTGCCACTCATGCTACATTATCCGGGCCTACGTGGCCCCTTCGATTTGGGTAGAATTCTACTTTCCCATTTCTAACTAGAGTGATGTCATTCATTTTCAGAGAGGGAAAATACAATTTAGGTGATCCTAAATAATATATGTTAAATAAAATGTGAATTTAATTTTACCTATCATTTAATATCATATTAACGTCACGTAGACTGTTTTTTAATCCCAAATGTAGATGAATAGTATTACTCAACTAACCATGTTTAGTTGCGACTTTAGGCATACTTTTAAGTGTGAACACAAATATGTAAAATAAACTGATCTTTCAATTTATGAAGAGTCGTGTCAGGATTGGGTTAGTCCATCCAAAAATGAATCGGCCACGAGGCTTGAATTTCACTCTGCGCCTCGAATATTTGTGTTATTATTTAAGTGAAGTCTAGGCTGGGGATCCCTAACTAAATACAGTAGACTAGATATGTACCACAATAATTAAAGGCACGAATAATGACCATCCACTTGTGATGCGCTAAATCTTCATGATATTGACTTATTTTAATATGTCAAGCTCAAATTATATTTTCTCTATAGCCTCTAGAAATTTATGTAGAGGCTCGCGTGACGAAAAGATTTTGATAAACTAGAAATGCATTGAATGGGGACACCAATAAAAATTAAAAATTCATACAAGTGATTATTAATAGGAATTGTTTTGATATTGGTACTCAATCTATAAATCGATTAGCAACTTGATCCACAATTTTCAAAAATTGAACAAGTTGGTTCTCAATTTTTATTATAGTATCACAATCAGTCCTCCGCTTTTATCCGCCCGAAACCCAAGAAGTTGGCACTTTAATAAAGCTAATTTTTTTCTCAGCTTGAGTTATTGTTCAAAAATTTGAAGTGAAATATATATTATTAAGAGGATCGTAATGATTTTTGCCTCTAGAATCTAAAATCTTGTTTGGCAAACAATTTTCCAAGCGAAAATGATTATTTTTTTAGAATGTGTAGTTAAAAAGTGGGAAAAGTCACATGTCACACAGAATGTGTGGTCGAAATTGATTTTGAAAAAATAAATTTATAAATCCTTTTAAAAAATGTGCAATAGAATCTCAGAGGTAGAAGGACATAGTCTAGTCCATGAAGCTGTATAAACGCTTTCATTCAATAAACAATCAAAATAAGCGAGTCATCGAATTATTTTACTATGCAGACAATAGTCAAAACATTACTGTTCTTTTTCTAAATTTGTTAAAAAAAAAAAAAAAGAACATAATTATTTGTTTTAAAGGTAAAGAAGGTCGTATACAATGATGACTTTAAAAAACCAAAATGCCATCAAATATGAGTTGTTACATTGGGCATTGACAACTTGTCTTCGCAACTACAATCCAAAAATAATTATAAATTGGATCCCAATGCTTTGTTGGGAAATAAGACCAAAATGGTCCACTTACAAAAGCTATTATAAAGGTTGGACAACTTGAGAACTGTTTTTCCTTTATATAATTATAATTTATAAATACTCATCATTCATCAATTGCTTCGAAGAACCTTAAAAGCAATTGTGGAAATTGAATTAAGACTATATGTCCTTTCACGTCATCTGACACATACACATAACTTATTTCTAAAACTTGTCGTAGAATATTAAAAACGCAATTCCAAACGTATCTTTGTTTACTTTACATATATACAACTTATTTTTTCCAACTTTTAAGCAAAATCACCTTTTTCCAAAAATAATAATAATAAAAATCTTTACCTTACTCTTGAGTTAATTCTTTTTAACTTGCATCTATAAGTTCTTTTCATTCTTAAACTTACTTTTTAACTTATGACTTCATTTAAGAATAAACTTGTTAAGCTTAGCAAGAAGAGAGAGAGACAATTCAAAGCACACAAATACATTACATACTTAGCGGTTCCAGTTTATTTATAAAATAGAACAAAGCAAAAAGTAACATTGATGCGAGTTTCAAGTACTAAAATTACAGAATACAGCAATCAAAGCATAGTGGCATACCCCCGACTAATAGCAGATAGTTGCAAATTTATCAAAAATAATGCAAACCCAGCAGCGTCCATGTGTTCTTAAACAGACAACTCAGTTTTGGAAATCAGAATACCATCAGTATCTGCATAAAGCCATTCTCCATCGCATATTCTAGTGCCAGCTATAGTAACTGGAACGTTCTTTTCGCCGATCCCCCTCTTATTAGCTTTCATTGGATGTGAAGCCAGAGCTCTCACCCCAATGTCACAACCATTTATTTCGTCTACGTCTCTTATACAGCCGTTGACTACTATACCTGCCCATCCATTGTTCTGAGCTTGCACCACAGGATTGCCACCCAATATTGCGCACCTCGAACTACCACCCCCATCGACAACCAGCACTCTTCCATTACCTTTCTCCTCGAGAAATTCACGAACCAAAACATTGTCTTCAAATACTTTCAGAGTAACAACTGGTCCGGAAAAGACTGGGCGCCTTCCATATATCTGGAAAACTGGCTGGAGTGCGCGGAGCTCGCCACTCACGATAAGCTGTGGATTTGCATCACAAACTTCAGCAGTCGTGACAAAGGCCATCCTAGATCCAGAATGTTCAGAGAAATAAGCGTCATAAGAAAAATCCAAACAATCATAGTTTAGCTAGCATGTCATATTTGATGACCAGAAAGAAACTATAAACAAGCTGTCAATAAAACATTTTTGTTTAAGGTATGGTGTTAAAAATTATGAGATAGGATCAATTTACATCATGAGCTAGCTAAGGAAGCGCAGATTAAAAATTAGTAAAATAATTATGTAATTTTCATGATACTTCCAGCATCTCATAACTTATAGTTGGAGAAATATTTTTCAAGGTAACTTGAACTGGATTATCTAATATTATTTCTTAGATCATGTTCACTACTTCACCAAAATAGAGTAAAAGGAGTGCAGTTGTAAAATGATATTCTGGAGTACATTATGAGGTCCATCTTTGCTCTGACTAGCTTGAAACTTGGCGAGCACCATTTGCTGAGCTTACTTTCCAATGGCAAAATTCCTCAAACACCTAGTACTTGGATTCTATTTATAACACCCAGGTAATAGAATTCTTATTTATCCATCCACAAGAAGTTGATAGTTGGTACATTTAAACAAAAAATAAAATAAAATAACTGAGTAATAAGATTTTTTTTTTTGTCATTGAGCAACTATGTTGTACAATTGGTATTTGTGCCAATTTCGTAATTACGATGGATACTGACATGAAAAACTTAATTTTTCAACCACCCATTCAGTTGCCATTGAGTATGTCAAGCAACAATAACATGAATATAAATTCATATAGAATCAAGTAAAGCTTCATGCAGAAAAGTGTGCCATTTATACAAATAGAAGATAGCAACAGAGTGTTAAAATCTTTCATCCTTGTCATTCTACTTTGTATTGAATGAGTTGACACAACAAACCCACAAAAGATGAAGTAGGCACTGCCTGCTGGCCAAAGATGTTTGTCTGCGACATAAAGTAGTACCTAAATCCGAGTACTAATATACCGCTCGAATAAATCCCACTATGTGATTTTGTAGAGGTACGTTATCTTACAATCTAAATATGTTTCCACTGGATTGTATATATAAAACGATTTGCATCGTATAATCAGTTAATTCATTTAGAAAATTGTATAGTCACTTAGGAGTCTAATTGACAACCAATAAAAGAAGTGTAAAATAAATCAAAATTGGATAATAATACCTTAAATACTGTACTTCATATAAAGCAATAACACATAAATACTCATGCATAATGGTAGAAATAATAGTCCGAACTATGGAAATAGATTGAAGGAGCCAGCGAGCAGTAATCATCTGCTTATTTTCCCTTTGCATCTGCATGTCATCTCTGTAAATAGGGTGTAGAGTTACAGAAACACGTAGGGATAGAATTTAGCCACCTTCACCAACAAATTTATCAAGTGAAAATCCCCTAGAGGTGGCTCCATCAAAACTTGCAAAAATAAGTTATAGAGAACTTTTTTCTTCAGGAATACAAATATAAGCATTAACTGAAGTAAAACTCTAATTTCTTTTTTAAAAAAAAAAACTCTTCAGTTTCAGTAAACAGTAAGGGAGTGAAAATTCAGCAAGCAAATATAGCAAGGATTATACATGGAACATTAACAAATCACCAAGACTTTCTTAATTTTCATTTGACAAGAAATGAACTAGAAAAAAGAAAAGCAAAATTCATTAGAATTATTTATGCTTGAATTTGCTTCATTATGGAAACAAATCAATGCTTAAGGAGTAGATGGTCGAGGAAAGGCAATTGAAAATTTCATTTAGCCATTTGGGAAGGATTTATAAACAATTTAGATAGAAATAAGTGAATAATACTTGTGGGTCTATTGGGATGTGTTATTGAAAATGAAGTTTGATCATTCATAAATGATTTATAAATTCTACCAAATGGAAGCTTAGTGGCATGCTCAGGTGAAAAGATAATTTTCCATCGCAATAAGTTTAGAACAAAAATAATTGGCTACAACTAGACAATTTAGTACTCCTACCAATAATGGTAGACACAGACCTAAGCAATAGTGACAAGTCCCGACATTGCCATTCTTTGTCTTATACACAGCAGAGGAGCTTGGAAGTTAGAACACTTTTCTACCAAGGCTTACAAAAATAAATAACAAAAAACCAGAAAAAATGGTAGTTGTGATTATGGTAGCATGAGAAAAGTAGATCTCTTAAGGCCAAAACATCAAAATTCTTCCACAGAAGATTCAGCGGGGGAAAATGCTTTTCCACCAAGATACTATAACCAGGAACTACAAAAATATAATAATCACCATGGATCTATTATTCCCCGAACCCTTTGTCTTCATAAATTTTCTCAAGCTGACCGTTCATTTTCGAGAGAACCTAGTTGTTTAGATCTCCTATTACATCTAGCAAATAGCAATGAAGGAGTAAAATGATTCACGTAGCTTACTGAAATTGACTACGAATGAGGCTTAGTTTGTTATCGCTATTATTGTATTTAATCGGTTCAATTCAACAACAAATTGCGAAAGAAATAGGGATCAGCTGAGGATTTTCAATAACTGATCAAGGGCCACTAGAGTCAAAATAAAACTAAAGCGAAATCCTTCGCTTGCTTGCTTCAATTCAATTTCTATTCATTAACCAGCCTGAATAGTGAGCAAAAAGCCAAAGGGCGGAGCCTCGATTTTGGTCCTGGGTATTTCACCTATTACACTTGATGGGCTACCAGTTTATAAGGCAAGGAGAAAACCATAAACAACCGCATCAAAAATTCAAGAGAAATGTTCTGTCGAAAAAACCTGTTGCTGGAGGAAGATTACCATCAATAAACAGCAATTTGAAAAAAATAAATAAATAATAAGGAGTTGAACTGAGATTAAATCATTCACAACAATCAGATCGAGTGCGATTTCAACATATAAAGCCCGTTTTTACACTAATAATCCGATACTACCTTTCAATTTTGTTGATGAAGAAGTTGAGTAGAAAGCACTACAAACAAGATAAATTGGTGCCGAAGGGGTGATGAGTACGTCTCCCTTTTTGCCTCTCCTTTCCTCTAAATTATTCTCAATTTCTAGCGTAATAACAAGAAAACCTTAGCCACTTCTCACCCTTTTCTCCGTGATTAAGACTTATCGTAATTGGGCTTTTTATAAAAAAAAATGAGTAATTTCAGGTGTTTAAAGTTTCAAATTCAAAAATCAGTTACAATATAAAAATCTTAACCCTAATTTTTTACCCTTCACCCAATCCCCCCCCTTTCTCTCCCCTCCCCTCGCCTCTCTCTTCCCGTCTCCTCCTCCTCCTCAGTTGTAGAATTGCAACAGCTGCGAATCGCAGTTGCTACGATTCTGGAAGCAGCGACTCGCAACAGCTGCGATTCTGGTTGGCTGTTGGAATCGCAGCTGCTGCGATTTTGGTTGGTTGTTGGTGGTTTTTTTGTGGTTTTTGATTGGTGATTTTTTT